TACATTTTTATTTATTATCACTGAAATTCTCTTTATTATTGTCGTTAGGTTTCCTTTTTTGTGTTATTTACTACTAGTCCCGTTTAAAATAGTTGAAATTTTTGATTGCAGATTTGTTAATCTATTTAATAAAACATAAAATAAACTTTTGAAATAATAAATGATTATAATTAAATGTATTACTTTTAGTTAGCAGTGTATTTATAATAAATAAAATTTTAATACATAAAATTATTTTGCGAAACTATTTTTTAAGTTAAAATTAGTCTACCAAAAGAGCAATATCAAATCTCACCTCGGATGGAGAATAAATTTATTATATTTATTGATTAATAAAATATATATATATATATACAGTATATATTTGTATAAATTTCACTTCAAACTCATAACGGATTCCGTTTCTAGTAATTATGAGAAAGAACAGGTCAAATTGCTTAATTGTTGTATTTTAGGAAATTATTCATGCGAAGAGAGGAAAATAATCAAAATGGAAAAATAAGTTACGAAAAATGTCCATGCCAAAACACACGATATACAGATCTCTTGGTTCAAGAGCATAAGTTCGGTATACAATAGAAGTTCTGTATGTAAATTTTTTTATATCGAACTTACAGAACTTACAGTAATAAGTTCGGTATATAAATCTGCCGCGTGATTAAATATTAATTTTGACCAGAATTGATTATCACTAAGACCAGCATAAATTATGAGAAATTCCAAACACGTGATCACTGTTCAAGTATAATCGAGAATTTTTTTTATATACTTTATTATAAATGGTAAAATAATAAAAGTTCGGTATATGTTATATCAAGTTTTATATAAAATTCGGTATAAATCGAGATAATTTTGAATAATATGAAACTGGTTTTTTAAAAAAGTTCGATAAGTCGAGAGTTCGTTATATCGTGGACGAGATCAGACTGTAACGTAAAAATTAGTATAACTTAACATCGGTTCATTACCATGATTACCATGCTGCTTTTTACATCCATCATTAAAATATTATTAGCAATATATTTTTAATACGTTTTATTTAATAATTAGCATCTGTTTTTATATGTTGAAGAATAAATATTTAATTAAGATATCAAAATTAACAAATAAATTTTTTCATATATTATTTAAAAAAGTACTGTTATTATTATTTATAAAATATTATAATAATATTATCAGTTATTATTTAATTTTTTTTTTTTTAGCCCAAAATCTAATTAACAAATACTCTGAGCTAACATATTTAAGTTCAACTATAAGATCTTTCGTTATAATTAATTACAATATATTCTTCTTTAGAGATCTCTAATATGGGACTTAAATTTTTCTATCACTACTTCATTATTATGAAATTTCATATAAATATCTTGATTAATCATATGATACCAATTTACCATTAGGTCTTAAAATATATAATTTTCATCTTTATAAACTATTGGCAAATTTTTAATTATTTTATCGTGGTTTTGTATTTTTTTCATATCTACTCATCTTTGTAAACAAGATGAAATGACTAAATTTAAAAAAAAAAAAATCTTAGTCATTCCTTAATAAGTATGTTGAAGACAAAAATATGAGAATAATTAATTTATTTACGTGCTTCATGTATTTTACTTAAAATTAGTCCAATTCCTTTAAATGTACTAGGCAGTGTTGGAAAATTTTGAGGTCATTTCACTTTTTTAAAATGACCTTAGGTCATTTCGTATATGATCACGTGATATATTCATAGTAAAATCATGACGTAATCAGGTCATTTAAAGGTCATTTCAAGGTCATTTGCCAACACTGTTAAATAAATCCTAGGTACAGTACATTCGACGGTAAATTAGTGTGTCTTTAATAGCATTACAATCCTTTAGAATTATGAGAACGAATGGATAATTATTTTAGAATTCAAAACTAAATTATTGATGTGAAGAGAAAAAAAGAATTTAAGATACCCCAAAATAAAAATGACAGAGTTAAAGATTGACATTATATTATTTAGAATCCCATATAGGGTTTTTACATTTCTCATGTGATTAACAATTTTAACAATTAGGATCATATAATTTCACTCTGATAATTTTGATTTTAAGGAAAAGAATTTTTGGAACAAACACATTTCATTGATTTAATTTTCTTAAATATTATTATTTTTAAATTTAATAATGAAACATTATTATATTCTGCAGTTATTTACTGTTGTTAATATTCGTTAACGGGGCTAACGATCGAAGTAGTGCGTAGCTTTCTTCAAGTACTTACTATCAGATATATTATTAAATGGTGAAAATGGTTATCTTACAAATTATGTACTCCGCAGAAGAATAAATGTTGTCATTAATAACTCACATTATAAATTTCTGAATTTTACTATGTTTATTTAAACTTTGAACGAACAAAGATTACTAAAATTTGAAATATTGATATAACAAATACAAATAAGCCGCAACAATATCTTTCCATTCATGATTTCCTCCATTCAAATTTTTTTGCGGTTAAATTTAAAAATATGTAAAGTTAATTTCTTTCTTATAATCGATTCAATATAATTATTTATTTTATGTTTCTTATTTTTAAATTGATGTATTAAACGAAAAAATCTCTTTCTTTGTATGGCCACCTTAATAAATTGTTTATTTGTTTTTCAAATTTTCAGACTATTATTTTTTTTTTTTTCGTGAAATAGCAATGGCAATTGTATCCGCAATAATCTGGTGATTTATATTTTATTAATTATTTTATTTCTTCTAAATTAAAGTTTAAAATAATTATAAACCCATTACATATTACAATTGAAAGTGTATCGTCAACAAAAAGCTACTTTTATGATTATAAATATTGGTACACTTGATAATTTTTTAATATGAAATATATATATATCATCTACTAATAACTTTTATATAATACCAGCTACCATATATACTTCAATTTGTAAAATGTATAATTTTAGGTAATGCTGACAAAATTGTTGAATCTGATTGGTAGATTATATAGGAAAGATGTCATGTATAGACACCTATGTATGTAGTGTATAGTGATGTGCACTATACGATTGTTATGTGTATATATAAATGTATCCAGTGGCGCAGCATATGTTTCACCAGACACCAGTTGAACAGGCAAAAATTGTAGCACAGGGCCAGCATTACGGCATTATGCACGAACGCGTGAAAGTAAACAGTGGTGACAAATAAGGATTTTACCTACTCAAAAAAAAATATAAACAGTGCTGATTGTAATGATTTAGATTTACCGTAGTAACACCACCAATTTTATAATTAAAATTTTACCCCACGTGACCGGTGACAGTTAAGGGGTTGTGAAAAAAATAATTTTGGAAGGCAAAAAAAAAACTGTCCCTCAGATAAATATAAACAGTGAAAACGCAGTGGGGTGTGATGCCGGTGATGAATATTATTAGGTCACGTGGGGTAAAAATTTGGTGGTAATACCTAGGGGTTACAATATGTAAATTACTATGAGTTAATAGTAAAATGCAACGGTACCCCATGTTTAAAGTGAAAGATCTACCAATAATCAATATAATCTATGAAAAAAAATGATAAATTGGTAATGACGAAATGTGAAACTACACGAAAATATTTTTTTTTTTCAAAATATTCTGTTTATATTTTTTAAAATTTTGGATCGGCTGTTTGAAATACCTCAAAAACATATAAAATTTTATTACACACTTAAAAATAATACATAATAAAAGAAGAAAAGGCTATTTTAAAACGTTTTACATAAAAATATTTAGTATATACTTATTGAAATCTCGAAAAAAAAAGGATGTAATTTTAACTTTCTTTATAAAAGAGCAAAAAACATATAAAATTAAGAACAAAGCAACCAGTGGTCTAATTTTAATAAAAAAACTTCGCCTATATAGAGCTAGCATATATAACCTTGACTTCTGAGATCGGCTGCTTTTCTATGCGTACGCATCAAAAAAATAAAAAAAAGTAAAAAATTTGCGCAATTTTATAGTAGATTTCGATTGTGTAACCAATTTATGGTGGCGACAGTTCTGGTTATTATTGATCAGTCTGTGTAACCTAAAGTTGTCTCCCGTTAATTTATCTAACCCCTTTATTTTTATTTTTATTTTTAAAACCACGTGAACTAGATTACAGAAAGATAGACAAGAACAAAAGATAAAACAAAAGTCAAACGCTATCTGATACTAAGCTATAATCAAACCGCCCGAGGACAGCGCCACTCTGGTACTTTTAACGAATCTGGAGGAGTCCCTAACATGACATCACATCCCAAATAACCAAAGTAAAGGCAATCTGAACTAAGGAGAGAAGTAAAGATCCGTATTTTCTTTTGGTCATAAAAGACCGCCACCTGTCAATACTGTCATAGGTGGAGTGGTTCACACTATTCTAATTGTTGTACGTTGTTATAAATTGTGTACGTGGGGTTACCCAAAAAAAAGATGTAATAAAATACAAGTCAAAAAAAGATAAAAAGTAGCTAAAATCGATGTAAATCTATAACTATCAGCGCGCTACCAAAAAAAAAGAAAGCTGATAGGTGTATCCTAAAGGAGTTAGAGCGAAGGGAAGACTTTCGAGTCTTTCGGAGACTGCGAAATATCCAGTCTCAATTTCTTGATGTGAATTTCATCCGTAATCAAGATAGGAGGACGTTTGTGTGGCCTGAGTTCGAGTTGTTTTGTGTCGTCGGATGTATATCCTTTATAATGATAATGAGGTGCATTATCGTCCATGACTGAAAAATAGTCGATTTGGAAAGAACCTAATTCCTGTTCTAATTGAAGTAATTGTTTATTAGATTTATAAACATTTTTTCTTTGTTTAATTCTGTTTTCAAGGACGGCACGACGCTCAATCAGAGGCGTGATTTTCTTGTGATAATGATCTTGAAAATTAGTGAGATCTTTCGTCATATCTTCATGAAATTCTATACGGTTGGAGGAGGTACCCCAGAGCTTAGCTCTGGCAGAGAGTTCTTTTTCATGGGCAAGACGTGCAATTTCACTTGCTTCTCGGTCTTTTTCTTGTTGTAAAGCTAGTTCATGAGCTTCTTTACGTTTTTTAATACCGTTTAACCAATACACACTACCTGGTGTGTATTGTTAACCTTTAAGTTTTGCCTGTCTTTTAGAAATGTAAACAGGTTCATCAGTTACATAAGGGAAGAGGTCGTTAGGAATCCAAATGCCCAGCTTGTCATGCCAAATGTTCTCGTCTTTAACGAGAGCGGGTTGTAAGGTATTGGCAGGCGAGCTAATATTTGATGTTCTAATCGAATCATTCCCTGGACGGGGTTGAAGGGGTGGGTCAAGTTTGATTACGGTAGCAAATGCACCTTGAGTCTTAATGGGATCTGGAGGTATATAAAAATTGTAATATTCCTCATCTCTGAGTACTTCTTTCTTGTGATATTTCAAATGTTGTATAGGTTTGTTGATATGTTGTGAAGGTAGAAATAAAAATCGATGTTGAGTGGCACGGTGAAGTTTTTCTTCAAGACTATCCACACGTTTCTGTAATTTCTTCTTGTTATTACTACGATTGTAGAAAACAGATCTACATGCCCGCTGAAAGCGGGCTTTTTGTTTTTTACTCCTTTTACTACTATCGGAGTGGTGTGAGCAGAAATTATCCAATCGTTTACGGTACATACGACGGTCCCTGTATTTGTAAAAAGATTCGTATCCGTTTGCTAAATATGAGACGTCATAGGAAATTCCTAGACGATTTGAGTGAATGTGTTTTATGACATTATAATGCCATCGGTGATAAGTATAGTTTGCATGAAACCGTTTGTTATTAATGGTATTATTATTTTGAACCAGGGTGTGTTTCTTGATATTATGAAAAATATCTAAATTTTTTTGATGAGAAACACAGGCACGTCTATTGTGAGACATGATGAAAGGGGAGGGGACACTACACAACTGTGTGTGTTCAGTTCCAAAATTATAAATAGTGGAAAATTACATGGTATAAAAATACCGAAATAAAAATGATAACGTTTATAAGAGAAATTAAAGAAAGTTTTTGTGCGGGAATTTCTTTGTGTGATACTGTCAGCACGTGATTTGATAATGAAATATCTATCGAGTAATTTGGAACGAATAAGATTAAAATATCTTTTTTGAATAGAGCGTGGGATGACTTTTTGATGAGAAAAAAAATGTTGTAACATCTTACTAATCTGATATTTCAGATTAGGAAAGCAACAGGTGGAAGAGTAGCTAATAGGGATTGAATTCATGTGATAATCATTTGTGTGTATTTTAAGATGAATATCATTGGTGTTTGCTGAAGAATCAGCTAACTCAAAAAAGAAACTTTTTGATCTTCTGATTTCGTAAATCTTGTTACATCCAGCCCGATTGGGTCTAGTCACGTGAAATTTATTGAATGAGACGTCGAAAGAGAATTTTCCCAAAGGAATAAGTTTATTAAAAGTAAAAACCATATTTTTCAATATGTTTTGAAATATGAAGTAAAATATTGTAAAAACTTCTTTCAGAGGTCGGGTGATAAGGAGAAGAACCTTTCCATAAGAGGCCACCCAGTGGTCCTCTGTCTTCTCGAGCGTTAACAAACGTAAAAAATGTGTAAATAAAAAAAAAACAGTAATTAACTGCGGATTTCTATGTAAAAAATGGAAAGGGGGAAAGAGTTCTTAATTTATCTAACCCCTAGGTAATACTGGGGAAGATGATGATTTAGAGGTATGTCACGTGATGGATAAATTTGCCGGTGTAACAGTTACTGCGGCTGCGCCTTATCATTTGTATTTATGTGTTTGGTCTCTTATTTCTTTCATACGTACGTACGTTTTGATTTAATTAGTATCATTTATTTGCCATGTATGTACATACAGTACACTCAGTGCAACCATACGTAGGGTACGAATCACGTATGGTACGACGGAAACATGTCATGTATAGAGGCCTATGTATGTCTGTATAGTGATCAACGTACGGTATGTATGGGGTGATGTATACCGGACGTTGCCATACATTGACCACTATACGTACATACATAGCTCACCATACGCTACATGTTTTCTATATAATCCCATACGTACATAGCTAAAGATCACCATACACTACACACAAGGGTCTCTATACACTGATTGGTATGGATTGTAGCCTCAGGAAGTGCATGATGGCATGATGCATGTGCATATTTTTGTATACATTTAGCTCTATAAATTAACTTTACGTCTTTACGTTCACTAAATTTGTTCTAATAATTTCATTTATTATAAAGTAAATAACAGTACTCCGCATATAACTAAAATTACTGTAATTAACACATTTATTTCGTAATTTACAAGTATAGAATCGTTAAAAAAGATATTCAAAAAAAAGTCAAGAAATACTAATATGGAAATTTTGAATAAAACATCTAAAGAAAAGCCAAGAAATTTATGGAAACAAGTTGATTGGGATAAATATCAGGTAAACGCAATTTCACTTTATAATTTAAATATTATGATTTAAATAATAAATAAAATATATTTTAATTATTTATTTAGACTCATGTTACTGTTTCTTCTATTAATTCTGCCACTAAATCAGAAGAGATTGATGATAGTGTAATTTATATGGACGATATAGAAAAAAGAAAAGAAGTATATGGTATATGTGGAGAATGTAACGAAACTGGCACAGGAAATTATTGGTGTCAACCTTGTAATGCAAAAAGATTTGAAGAAAATTTTAAAAATTGGACTAGTGGAAATAAAGATATTGATGAATTAATACAACATTCACAACTTAATGCTGTAATATATACAAAATGTCTTGAATGGATACCTTTTGAAAAATTTCAAAATGTCACTTATATTACCAGAGGAGGCTTTGGTAAAATTTATTCAGCCGAATGGCCTGAAGGATTTATTCTTAACTGGGATATTGAAAATAAAATATGGAATCGATACACAGACAGAAAAGTTGCATTAAAAAGCTTGGATAATTCTTCTGAAATTAGTAAAGATTTTTTAAATGAGGTAACTGAATAAAAAAATTAATTTATCATGTTATATTTAAATCGACATCATTATAATTTTTATTAAATTTTGTTTTTTTAATTTTAATTATTAGATCAAATCTTATCTTCAGATTTATATTCGGGATGTTATTTACTGCTATGGAATAACTCAAGATTCAAATACCAAAGATTATATGATGGTTTTACATTATTGTGAAAATGGAAATTTAAGAAATTACTATCTTAATTCTAATGATGATACGAAACTTTATGATTTATCAAGAATTGCAAATGGACTGTTAGATATCCATAATGCTGAAAAAATCCATAAAGACTTACATTCAGGTAATATATTGGAAGGTGGGACTATGTATATAAATGATTTAGGAATGTGTCAACCAGCAAATAAACAAATAGTTAAAGAAGAAGGAATTTATGGAGTATTACCATATATGGCACCAGAAGTTTTACGTGGATATCAATATACAAAAGCAGCTGATATTTATTCATTTGGAATAATTATGAATGAGTTCCTTTCTGAAGAAATTCCTTTTAATGATATTCCTCATGATCATATTTTAACTATTGCAATATGTAAAGGACTTAGACCTAAAATTTCTGAACATATTCCAAAATTTCTTGTAGATTTAATTATGAAATGTTGGGATGCTAAAGCAGAAAATAGACCAACTGCTAATGAATTGTATCAAATGTTAAAGAAATGTAATGAAACAAACAAGTATTATTCTCAAATGAGGAAATATGGTGATAAAATTAGAGAAAAAAAATTGGAAAACAAATTAAATGAAAATAAGTCTGAAAGTATTAAAACTCATCCTCAAGCAATCTATACCAGTAGACTTTTAAGTTTTAAAAATCTTTCAGAACCTGTAAATTCATCAGATTTAACATCTTTACAAATTAATTCAGGTAAATTTTCAATTTAATTAGTTATGAAAAAATCTTATTCAAGTTTTAATAAAATCAACTTTTTTTTAATAATAGATGATGCCCCATCAGTATCAACAAATCTAAGTAAGTATAACCATTAATACTTTTTTTATTATAAATTTATATTTTTATTTTTAATAATAACATTATTTTATTGTTTATTTTAAAGTTTCAGAATGTTTTGGTTGTAAAATTCAGCGAATCAGGTAAAATAATTTATTTGGAGTGATTTATTATTTTATTAATAGCTTCCCGTTCAATTTGTCTAATTTTATTTAATTATTACTAATAATATATCTCAATGAAATTAATCAGGAAGATAATTTGAATGATGAGTTTTAAATTATAGTTGGCTTTTTCAAGAATAGTCAGAATATTATTTAAAAAGATAATATTTAAAAATTTTTATTTAACTTAGTTCATATTTTTATTTACTTTTTTATATCTTGGTGGAAATTTTTATGGTGAATGTCATTTTGATATCATGTTAAAAAATATAATAAAAAATTCTTAGGTTAGCTTGTCTATTAATCATTAAGAAAGCTTAAAATTGATTCTTTATTAGTTATTTATTTTTATATTTATTATTAGCCTTTTTTTTTTTTATCTAAATAAGTTTTTAAATAAAAATTTTTTTTTTTATTTTAAAGTTATTTAATATTTTAATTGATCAATCTAAAATTATTTTTGAAGTGAGTTAAAAAAAAATCATATATTTTCTTTCATGAAATAAGAAACTGCAATCGTATCTGCAGCAGTAATTTCTCCAGAAAAATATTAATATAGTTCCTTTTATTTCTTTCCATTTTCCAATACAATAACACCAGGAAGTTTTTGCCATTTAAAATCTGCAGAGAATTCTACGTGGAACCATCATGGAAATTCCAAGTGGAACCAATATTTTCCGAATATCCTGTGACGAAACATGTGGAATGGATTCACAGAGTTCAAGGTCGTCAAACGTGGATTTGATATCGGGTGATTTGCAAAATATTAAAAAATATTTAAATTATATTAATTATATTTATTTTTACTCACCTTAGGAACCCTTGACTTATACTATTAATATGCCAATCTCACGATCTAATTACTGTACTATTTAATTTTTTTTAATAATTACCTAGATTATATCTTATATTTATTCTTGAGCCGCAAAAAAATATTTATTATATAATAAAAAGGCATGTTCTATATTCTTTATATTTTAATTTATATTAGTATGTTTTTTAACTAGCACTATTATACTGTGTTATCTTGAACTCCGCAGTAATATCTGCGGATGAATCCCTTATTCTTCTAAAGAATTCTATGAATTTCCAATGAAATTTACGATATACGAAAATTCAGGAATCCACATATTTCTATTATGAAATATGTGGTTTTGTGCGGATACTTGTCCACACAATTTAATGTGTAGAATTCCACGTATTTCCGAACTAACCTACGTGGTTTTTGGTGGATCGATCTAGTACCTAAAAATTTCCTGAATAAATTTAATAGAATACATGTTCACAATTTTTATAGGAAATTGACCGAAATTCGACCCAGCTAAGAATTTTTAAGAGAATAAAATTCGCAATTTTCTTCACACAATTGTTGTGAAAGAAAAAAAATTCTAAATAGTAAATATGATAATTTTGATTCATTAATTCGAGAATATTTCATAATATTGTTTCTAAAATTAAATTATAGAAAGGGCGAAATATATATATACGGTTTAATATGATTAGTATTCTAAAAAATAAAAAAGGATCTTAAGATGAAATATAATTAATTAATTACCTATTATAATTTAAATTAGATAAAATTCTCATAAAAGTTAAGATGAACAAATCACTATTTTGATGGTAGATTCTTAAAAGTATATATGATTTTATTTAGATGAATTATTCAAAATAATTAGTATAAATAAAATAAATGCTTAACCTGTTAATTTGAATAAGAGCGGAAATAAAGAATATAATCCAGATACTGTAAGTATTATATAAGAACGGAAAAGTGCATATTTGCTGATATCAAACTGAAATATATACATTATTAAATATGTTAAATTGCCAAACAGATATGATAAAAATATAATTTTACCCATAACTAATAAGATTGCTTTTTCGTGAACATGTCATCCGAATAGAAAAGAAGAATATCCGTTTAATATTAATGATACGAGAAAATTTTTGTAACTTGGATGCTTCCCACGATTTAACAAGAGATATCTGTTTTAAAAAAAATAATTGGTTCATCGGATTTTAAAATTTACCGAGATTCAAGACTTACAAAATTTTCTTACCATTTGAAGAATCAAAATAAGAATGAATGTGTGATTTGCTTTAACTTGTGGTAATAATGCGGAATTAACATCCTCAATTAATCCACTTGTAATTGAACCAATTGCCGATTCATTTAACGTCCATCCGAGAAGTTTTGCAACTATATAATGAGAATTAGCAAATTAAATATTCATTACGTAAACGTATTATATTATATAAATAATGTATTTACAAACGATCAGCCGCGGAATACAAAGCCCAAAAATTCGGTGCCCAGTACGCATGACAAAACCTCCTTTTAAAAAGAAATAAACGAGAAAGAACTTGACCCAATTGTCTCATAATAATAAAAGGTCCAAATGAAAGTAAAAATATTATAATGACAGAAACACCAAGAAAAAAAAAAATGTCTTAACGAAAACGTTTTTGTGCCTAAATAACATTTTCGATGATTAACAATATGATGATCTCAGTAAAGTTAAAAAGAATAAAATATTTATTGTATAAATTAGTACCTTATTGAGATTTCTTGAAAACAATAATGTCTCAATAGAATTACGAAATACGCAGGGACAAGATAAAGAAAAATGTGTTTAAAATTAATAAGATTATTTTCCTTAAATATTAAATTCACGATATAAAAAAAAATTGACTTAATTTTCCAATACTTGTAATTACTGTCGCACGTTGAAAATAATTTAAATTATCCACTCTAAGTATTTCTTTGTCGGCTAATGATGCGAATTGTGATAAGATTCATTCGAACCATACGAGAAATGGAGGATAATCTAATGTTCATTCACTCATATCTTCATAATACCATTTTGATATTGGTAAGCTATGTGTTAATAGCAATCCAATTCTGATGAACTTCAAAATCTGTTGAACGACTTGTAAAGAGAATAAACAAATTAAATTGAAAATCATAAAAGTTCACAATTTAATTTAATTTAGCTTAATAATAACTTAACAAATATACTAAAAATTATCAAATCTTTTAACATAGTTATAATTAAAAACATAGGCGTAAAATTATTTCTGTCAGAACTTAAATTGATATACATGCTTGGAATCAATATAAACTTTTTAGGACATAAAAATTAATTAGATTTCACAAACCAAAAGTTTTCCAGATTAACATATTTATTTTGATTAACTGAATCATTTAATGTACAAAATAAAAATTTGATACACACCAATTATGCTTAGATTTATTTTTGCAATGTAGCTTTTTTTACAAAAGTTCCAAATAAGCATACTATTAACTAGAGTACTAAGCCTAACCTAACCTAATCTCTGCAGAACCAACATTTTATGCAGAATGCGTAAAAATAAAAATTCTCCATACTTTAAAACCAATATAATTAAACTGTCCTTCACCCTCTCTAAATACAACTATAAGTACTAAATTCGGTACTCAATATTAATACTTAATTATTAACACTATATAATAAAAGTTTAATTAAATTAAATTGTCTAAAATGAATATTAAAGAAAAATTAACGACAATAATTATTTTGTTTTTTACCCTACCGAAACAATCAAATTTAGTTTTTTAGATTATTTATCTCCATGATATCCGGAATCCTCTCCGAATCCTTACTTTTGATCTTTGTAGTTTTATTTAATTCTGAGAAAGGTGCAGTTCTAGATAACCATGTTAGTGCTTCAACTCGACTATGTTCTCCTAGGACCAGAAAATATATATATAAGGAGTTTTGCGTATTTTAAACTAAAAAAATCATGAAAATATTTCCTTTTTTAGATAATTTTGGATAATGCCAGTCAGAATTTTATTTCCTATTATAGTAACTGACTGATATTAGTTATCATAATTCTGGCCCTGAAAAAATGTACAGATAGTAAAAAATTTTTCATCACCTGACCTATCTATATATATTTCTGGGTCCTGTTGTTCTGCTCTACTTTTAGGCCTTGAACTTGATCCACTTATCCCATGAACTTGTTCTACTATGACCTGACGTCCTGACGCGCTTCTATTATTTTTCTCAGAAAAGTAAATTGCATCATCAAATTCTGATGTTCCTCCCAATTAAATACCCTATCATCCAGCCAGTCTATTGGTGGAATAAACTCTTAGAAGATGTAAGTATTGCGGTACGCTCTACTGTCTGGGCTATTCTTTCAGCATCAAATCGTGATAAATTTGTGGTGCCGATTCATTAATAAGATTAGTAATATCGGTTGACAGTTGTTCACGAACTGTGCGTAATTTTTTAGAAGATTTGGCCCATGGAAGTAATGACAGGAAAAGTGGATGAATTGATCTAAGTATAATATCAATAAGTATTATTTCCTTTGTTTAAAAGTACTAATTAGGTACATAAGAATATTACCAATATTACTTGTAAATATCAATTCCGCTTTCATACAATCTAATCGTTACATAGCTTCCCGTAACTAAAATGCAAAAAGTCGATATAGGAGCAAAAACTTTCCATTTTAATATCCATTTACATTTAAATGAAATGAGTACTACAATGAATGTATAGAAGCCATAAAGGGTTGGTGTAACAACAAGAGCAACTAGTAATTTCCACGTCGCAAGCACATCACGTCCGGCCACTTTGACTGACGATCCACGAACAGCTTCTGTTTGATTATAAAATATAATTAGTATATAAAATAAATAAATCAAATTTAATTTATTAACATAAAAAAAACCTTTGGCTTTTTTTGCGCTAATTTACGCACAATTATTACGAGTGGTAGGTTTCAATATTTATTATTTTTATTTATTTTATCCATTAAACCAAATCTTTAATATACTACACATCATATGTTTCATTTTCTTTAATAATTAGATCACGATCCTTTAAGTGTTAATGAGAAAATTTTATTATTAGACGAGTCCGTAATTGTCAAATTTGATCTAGTATTATTCATTGGAAATATATAATTGATGAATTAGTAAGAAAATTTGGCAAACTTCGTTCTGAGAATAAAATCAAATATTTTTGAAATTCAACTAACTCCTTTAGGAAAAGAAGGACAACTAAGGATGACGGAAAAGAGCGAAAACAAATAGAAAATAGAATTAGCGTTCAGGTATTGATCGTGATAGATGTCCTTATGTTTTTTTTTGACTTCGGATTTCGGATGACACAAAAAAACAATATCCCTACTCAAATATAATGAGTATTATAATTATATGTCTGACGAAAGATCAAAATATTAGTGAATAAAAATTACCAAAAGTTTTTATAATTTTTTCTTTATTATTTTTGTTATTTTTTATTATCATTTATTTAAATTAACGACATTACAATTAAGCGGTCAAACGAAAAAACGTCCAATCCAAAATTTCAGTTAAAATGTCTTATTCACTTCAAAATTATTTTCATGTTTAAGAGAAATAAATATTATTACAGAATACTATACAATTGCATTATTTATCTAATCAAGATTGAACAAAAGACATTTATATATATATATTTTTTATTATTATTTCACTTTTTTTTTATCAATGATCCTTGTCTGATATTGCTTTAAAAATATTTGCAAATTTTATTACAATTTTTGTCTTTAAAAATTTACTAAATATTATTTAGATCATATCTACAATTTAAATCATCAAAAGATTTGATTCTACTTGTTACCGATACTAATTTTTCAAATTCTTCTATATTGAATTTATTTATTGGATTTAAAGATTTCAGAGGAGCTTTCTTGTCTTTCTTTATTTTATTAACTAACCGCGTGGTAAAATTCCACTACAAGTATTTCGAATTTCGATGCTTACTATTATACATTCATAAATGGTATCATTTTTTTTAAAAAAGAACAAATGGACATATTACGATTTAATTTTATTTTCTCAACTTTATTGAAGAGATTATTTGAATTTAGATATTGTAATTATTTTTGAGCTTAGAAATTTAGTTTATATTTATTTGATAATTACAGTAACTGTATAAAAAAATTTCGGGGCGTGACTGGCGTGACTAAAGAGGGTTTTTTTTTAAGTAACTTATTTTTATATAACTATTTCTTTTTCTTCTTTTTTTACTAAGATTGATTAATTAAAAAGATACTAAGTTTAAAAGGTATTTATTTTTAAGAAACGAAAACAAATATTTCAATTACCGACTATGAATTAGCTTCGTCTCACTAACATGAACATAACTATTATTTTTTGTTTTCTGCAAAAGAAAAACATATCTTTAAATAAAGTAATCTCTTTAAAAAAAAATAAGATTGATATTTATTATAATACATACTTCCGAAATTTTACTTAAATCCTTATATAAATGATCTAATATTTAAAGAATTGAACGAGTTGAATTTTACGTATATTTAGAGAAATAGCAATATTTGAAATATAATGTCAAAATTTTAGTTTATAAAGCAAGTTTACTGTTGTTTACCTTGATTCTGAGACATTTTCTATGGCTTGTGTGAGTTTATTTTTTTTTGTTGTTTAAATTTATATTTTCAAAAAACGAAATATAAATATTTTGTATCAAGTAAAAAAGAAGAGTATATATATATGTTTTGAAATTTGGCGCACGTATATTGTATGGTAAAATAAAGAATGTCTAAAAGGAAAGGCAGAATGAAGGGATTACTAAAAAGGAAAAAATAAAAGGATTGCTTGATTAAGAATTCTTACAATGAAAATAATGAAAATTAAAAAATGGAAAGAAAACAAACAGTTATCCGGAGATAATATCCGAACCGGCAGAAAATTCATAATGCCGGCCGGAATTAAAATCATAAATTTTGAGTATATTTGTATATCACAAAATGCCAGAATTCTGGCCTACATCATAAATTCGACCCGAATTACTGCCGATCATTAACGAATAATCATTAGCTTAGAGAAAAAAGAATGCTGAAAAGTTTGTGCAATATGTTTAATTTTGATTGTGGTGATTATACTAACCAAGAAATTCAATATATGGTTAGTTGCCTAGACTTTTCCTAGTTTAAACTTAGGAATATGCCAAATTTTATGCGTTGTATCCACAGCCAGCTTTACGGATGGTAGGTTAATATATATTGGAAAAAAAATTCCTTTTATCTTTTATCTTTAGTTATTTAATTAAAATAATTAGAAAGATACACAGCGCCATTGGCTTCTTTATTAATTTTAGTTACTATTATTCCATCTTTTTAGGTTTATCTAGATTAAAACAATAATAATTATAATCTTAGCTTTTATAAATAAATTGATTTTAATTCAGTGATTTTCCGTGATATGGTGACTGCGCCTGGTCACACATTTCGAAATTGTTAGGAAAAAATTTCTATAAAATTTTAAAGTTTAAATATTAGAGATTATTTTTATAGATAATAAGTTAATTTGTTTATTTTGTAAAAAAAAAATTACTAAATTTGTTAGATGTGCCTATTAAAATTTCATTCATACAATAGGTAGATAAAATATTTCTTTTCCATAATAATTTTATGCAAATTTTTTTACAAAGTTACAAATACAGTATGTCATGTACGTTATTATTTCCAAATATACGTGAAGATAATTCTCTCAGAAAATTTTTTCATAATACTATAAACCACATTTATTAATGAATATGCCAACTTTGATTCTTGATTCTACCCTAGCTAAAATTAAAATCTTTTAACAATAAACCTACTTGATAGATTACATAATTATTATCTTAAGTTTAATGTAATAAAATATTGAGCTTAAAACGTGATGTGATTTTTCTATCATTTTATAGAAATTTAAAAAGATATCAAAATTATATCATTGTTAATATTAGAATAATTAAAATCTTTCTACTTTATAATTTATATCAGTCAATGACAATTTTTGGATTAAAAATACTAAATTGTTTTCATGACATTGAGAATATTAGCAATTGACTCAAATGACATATAATGTGTCATTGTATCATTTATAATATAGAATACAAACAAATTTAAAAACATTTTAATAATTATACTGTACTGCGCCATTTTTGCGGAAATTTATTATTAAGAGAAATTTACTGTATATGAAATAGACAAAGGCGCATTATTTTTTTTTTTTTTAAGAAAAATTATAAAAGTTCAACTTTTGTAATTGATTTACTTTTTTCCGGAGGGAGCGACTGAGCGAGTGAAAAAGCAGAACTCTATGCGAAATTAACAAGAAACAATGGATGGATTTTTTTAATGATTTCAACAGGTGGTAAATAATAATAGCAAGAATTAGCAGCGAAAATTAATCTAAGATATTTCTTAGATGTATTAAATATTATTTAGCGATGAATCAGAATACTATCTATTTAAGACTATTTTTTTTAACATGTTACGACTTCGAAAAGTATCGTCGATGATTTCATGAGATCGTTTGACACCACGTTGTCACGTGTTGGATCGTTGTGGGTGTCTTAACCGCATCACAAAGTATCATTGAAAAATTCAATGAATTATAAGCTGATTCATATCATATGAAAAAAAGATACAATGTTATTTACACAGTATTTACCCTAAAACCGAGTTTAGATCGGTCCATCACATTATTTGTCATCAATAACGCTAATAATTAGTGAGACTTGCTACATTTAAAGATTTTCAATTCTTTATTATTAAGAAAACGAACGGATCAAATAAATCGTTAATTGTCGGTTTGTCGTATTTTTTTTTTTTTTTAGAAAATAAAGTTAAATTATTCATGTCAAGAGAGGGAAATCGAAGTGGAAAAATAAGATACGAAAAATGTCGAGTCAAAATAACATAAAAATTGGAATTTATATAATAGCTTAACATCTTAACATCGTGTCTTTTCCATACTATTTTTTACATCACTATACAAATATTATTAAACAATATGCTTTATTTAATACGTTTCATTGAAAATTAATTTATATTGCCAAATAAATTTTATTTAATGAAATTTTCATATATAATAATTGTAACGTACAACAATATGTATGGTATGTATTCTATTATTTATACTATACGGTATTATATAATATTATTATTTATAAAAAAATATATCATATTATTAAATATTTTTATAAATTACTATAATAATACTATCAGTTATTATTTAATCAAATTCCAATTAGCAAATGTTCTGAACTAGTAGTATATTTAAGTTTTCTACAAGATCTTTTGTTATCATAATTTTATATTCTTCTTCAGAGATCCCTAATACGGGACTTAAATTTTCCATCGCTACTTCATTATTATGAAATCCTATACAAATATCTTAACTTGATCAACCATACCAATTTTATCGTTAAGTCCTAAAATATATACTAATTTTTCAACTTTATAAACTACTGGAGAATTTTAATTTGATTTAATTATTTTATCAAGATTTGGTATTACTATTTTCATATCTACTCTTCTTTGTAAACAAGCTGTAAATTTTTAAAAAAATAAAATCTTAGTCATTTCTTAGTAATGAATACTATGAAGTTTTGTTATTTTATAATAAATAAATTATTATTTATTTTTTATAAAAATTTCAATTATAAAAAAATATATATTGCAGGAAAAAAATATATATATAATTCTAATAATTTTAAAATTTTAATAAAAATATGCATCAATTATCGCTCGAGTTGATTAATAATCGCATGATCGATTACATATTACATGATCGAATTTGTTTGATCAATGTGTTTTGGATCAATTAAAATAATTATTCTCCATCTATACTGTTCCTAGGTAAAGTACATTTGTCACCAGTAAGTCGGTAAAACTACACTTAAAAACTTTACAATCCTAATTCTTTATAGTAATTATGAGAACAAACGGATGAATTATTAATTATTTGAATATAAAACTAAATTCAGTTATCCAAAGGAAAAATGTCAGGATTAAAGATCCCAATATAGGGTTTTTGTATTACATGATTTAACAATTAGGATCATATAATCTTACTTTGACAATTTTGATTTTAAGAAAAAGAATTTGGAACAAGCACATTTTATCGATTTAATTCTTAAATATTAATATTTTTTAAATACATGCATCATTTAACGGGCTAACACCTGATTACCAATCGGTGCTACTATCACATTCCGCAGAAGAATAAATGTCATTAATAATTCTCAACCCATTATAAATTTTTAAATTTTACTATGTTTATTTAAACTTTGCACGAACAAAGATTACAAAGATTCAACAATATTATGCTGCAATACGAAGTATGAGGTATTGATATAACAAATCAGCTGCATCAAATTTCCAACGCACGAATATCGTCTTCAAGTATCTTTTTTATGATTAAAATCAGTACAAGTATAAAAATAAATAGTATGAGTATGATATTTCAATATTCTATGTAAATTATTAATGAAATACATTTAAGGCCTTTGAACAATAATTTTCCTTTGGAAAGATCACTTTCTAAATTATGTTCAGTAACAACATGATTTCCTCCAGCATTCAAATTTTTTTCGTGGTTAAATTATTTAAAAATATGTAAAGTTAATTTCTTTCTTAAAATCGATTTTATTTATTTTATGGCCACCTAAATAAATTGTTTATTTGGTTTTCAAATTTTCAGACTCTTATTTTTTTAAAGAAAAAAAAATTCGTGAATTTTTTTTTTTTTTTTCGTGAAATAGCAATGATGACAATTGTATCCGCAATAAATCTGGCGATTTATATATTATTAGTTATTTTATTTTTTTCTGAATTAGTTTAAATAATTATAAAACCATTACATGTTACAATTGAAAGTGTATCGACAGCAAAAAGTTACTTTACTTTTATGATTATAAATATTAGTACACTTAATAATTTTTTAATATGAAATATATATATATATATCATCTACTAATAAATTTTTATATAATACCAGCTACCATATATACTTTCAATTTGTAAAATGTATAATTTTTTTTTTAAAAAAAATAGGATCAACATAATACAATATTTTGATGATTAGGTTTCACGATGTTTCAATTAGGTAATGACAATAATTGCGGCTGACAAAATTGTTGAATCTGATTGGTATTGATTGTAGCCTCATGATGTGCATAATACATGTTGTGCATATATTTTTGTATACATTTAGCTCTATAAAATAACTTTACGTTCACTAAATTTGTTTTAATAATTTTCATTTATTATAAAGTAAATAACAGTACCACACACATAACCAAAATTACTGTAATTAACACATTTATTTCGTAATTGATAAGTATAGAATCGTTAAAAAAGATATTCAAAAAAAAGTCAAGAAATACTAATATGGAAATTTTGAATAAAACATCCAAAGAAAAACCAAGAAATTTATGGAAAGATGTTAATTGGAAAAAATATCAGGTAAATGCAATTTCACTTTATAATTTAAATAAATAATAAATCAAATATATTTTAATCATTTATTAGACTCATGTTACTGTTTCTTCTATTAATTCTGCCACTAAATCAGAAGAGATTGATGATAGTGTAATTTATATGGACGATATAGAAAAAAGAAAAGAAGTATATGGTATATGTGGAGAATGTAACGAACCTGGTACAGGAGTAAAATGGTGTCAATCTTGTAATGCAAAAAAATTTGAAGAAAATTTTAAAAATTGGACTAGTGGAAATAAAGATATTGATGAATTAATACAACATTCACAACTTAATGCTGTAGAACATTCAAAATGTCTTGAATGGATACCTTATGAAAAATTTCAAAATGTCACTTATATTACCAGAGGAGGCTTTGGTAAAATTTATTCAGCTGATTGGCCTGAAGGAAATATTGATCGTTGGGATATCGAAAATCAAAAATGGCACCGATTTACAAGCAAAAAAGTTGCGTTAAAAAGTTTGGATAATTCTTCTGAAATTAGTACAGATTTTTTAAATGAGGTAACTAAATAAAAAATTAATTTATCATGTTATATTTAAATTGACATTATAATTTTTATTAAATTTTGTTTTTTTAAAAAAATTTTAATTTTTAGATCAAATCTTATCTTCAGATTTATTTTCGGGGTATTGTTGGCTACTATGGAATAACTCAAGATCCAAATACCAAAGATTATATGATGGTTTTAAATTATTGTAAAAATGGAAATTTAAGAAATTTCTATTTAAATAAATATGATAATATAAAACTTTATAAATTATCAAGAATTGCATATGGACTATTAAATATCCATAATGCTGGAAAAGTCCATAAAGACTTTCATTCGGGTAATATATTGGAAGATATTACTATATATATAAGTGATTTAGGAATGTGTCAACCAGCAAATAATGAAGAGAAATCAGATAAAAAAGAAGGAGTCTATGGAGTATTACCTTTTATGGCACCAGAAGTTTTACGTGGATATCAATATACAAAAGCAGCTGATATTTATTCATTTGGAATAATTATGAATGAGTTCCTTTCTGAAGAAATTCCTTTTAATGATATTCCTCATGATCATATTTTAGCTATTAAAATATGTAAAGGACTTAGACCAAAAATTTCTGAACATATTCCAAAATTTCTTGTAGAATTAATTATGAAATGTTGGGATGCCAAAGCAGAAAATAGACCAACGGCTAAAGAATTGTATCAAATATTAAAAAAATGGAATGAAACAAAATTTAATGATGATGAAATTCATTCTCAAATGAGAGAATATGAAAAAATTAGAGAAAAAAAATTTAAAAACAGATCAAATGAAAATAAGTCTGAAAGTATTAAAACTCATCCTCAAGCAATCTATACCAGTAGACTTTTAAGTTTTAAAAATCTTCCAGAACCTGTAAATTCATCAGATTTAACCTCTTTCCAAGTTAATTCAGGTAAATCTTCAATTTTAATTATGAAAAAATCTTATTCAAGTTTTAACATCAATTTTTTTTTAATAATAGATGATGTCCCATCAGTATCAACAAATCTAAGTAAGTATAACCATTAATACTTTTTTTATTATAAATTTATATTTTTTTATTTTAACATTATTTTATTATTTATTTTATAGTTTCAGAATGCTTTGATGTTCAACTTAGCGAATCAGGTAAAATGATTTATTGGAGTGATTTATTATTTTATTAATAGTTTTCTCGTAAAATTCGTCTAATTTATTTAATTATTTCCAATAATAGATCTCGATGGGATTAATCAAGAAGAAGAAATTTGAGTCTTAAATTAGTTACAGTAGGTTTTTTCGGGAATAGCCAGAATAAATTTAAAGATAGTACTTATAAACTTTAGTATTATGTCTTGGTGGAAATTTTTATGGGTAAGATCAAATAGGCAAAAAAAAAAAAAGTTTATTATATAGTATATTATTTATAGCATATATAGCTAGACGCTCAACTTTGATTACAGAATGACATCATGATAAAAAAAAATTACGATAGAAAATCTTTAAGTTAGTTGGTTTATTAAACATTAAGAAACCTTAAAATTAGTTGCAACCAACTGAAGCAAATAATTTTAAGTTTGCTATTATCTTTCATTAAAATTATATTTATTATTTTTTTTATCCGAATAAATTTTTAAATAGAAAAATTTTTTATTCTTTTTAAAAACTAGTTGTCTAAGTTTTCAATTAATTCAGAATTATTTTTTTGAGGTGGGTTAAAAAAATTGTACATTTTCTTTTATGAAACAGAAACTGCAATCGTATCCGCAGTAATCACTCTAGAAAAAACGTTAGCATCTTTTATTTCTTTCCAATACAAGTTTAATAGAGCATATACTCAACAATGTTAAAGGACAAAAATAATTAAATTGACCGAAATATGATCCGGATAAGAATTTTTAAGGAATAAAATTCGCAATTGCGACCGAAAGAAATTTCAAATATCATTGAAAATTCAGGCATTGATTAACCATACCAATTTTACCATATTATTTTCATATCTATTCCTCTTTGTAAACAAGATGAAATGTCCATAAATTTTAAAAAAAAATAAATCTTAGTCATTTCTTAATAAATATGTTGAAGATAAGATATGGTAATAATTAATTTACTTATGTGTTTCATGTATTTTACTTAAAAATTGACCTAATTCATTTAAATGTACTATGTACTTTCATATTCATCAGTTTTGTTATTCTATAATAAATTAATATTCATTTTTATAGAAATTTCAATTTATAAAAAATATATATGAGGGAAAAAAAATGAAATTGGTAACGAGCTTTCTCTATTATAATTCTAATCACTTTAAAAATTTTATTAAAAGTATGCCTAAAAGTATGCCTCGATCAATGATCGATCTAGTTGATTAATCACATGATCGATTACATATGACAGGGTCAAATTTGTTCGATCGGATCAATTAAAATCACTACTCTAATCCCACCCATACTACTACACCTAGGTACAGTACATTTTTCACCGGTAATTCTGGTAAAATAGCGTGTCTTGCTACACTTAAAACTTTATAATCCTAATCCTTTATAATTATGAGAACAAACATGAATTATTAATCACCGGTTATGACCGACTGGTGCATGTCATGAATTACATGTTATGTCTTTGCGTATTTACTATCACACCCGAAGAAGAATAAATGTTGTCATTAATAACTCATAATCATTATAAATTTCTAAATTTTACTATGTTTATTTAAACCTTGTGCGAACAAAGATTACAAAGATTTAACAGTAATATACTGCAATACGAACTACTATAATGTGTTGATATAACAAATGGCACTACAAACCAGCTGCACCAAATATTTTTCCAACGCATGGATATCGTCTTCAAAAATCTTTTTTATGATTAAAATCAGTATAATTATAAAATAAATATGAGTATTAATATTCTATGTAGATTATTAATAAAATACACCTAAATACCTTTGGTAATAATTTTCCTTTGCCAGGCTAACTTTCTAAATTATGGTCTGATTTCTTCCATTCAAATTTTTTCGTGATTAAATTATTTAAATATATGTAGTTAATTTCTTCCTTAAAATCGATTTTATTTATTTTATGGCCACCTAAATAAATTGTTTATTTGTTTTTCAAATTTTCAGACTCTTATTTTAAAAAAATTCGTGAATTTTTTTTTTCGTGAAATTGCAATGAATAAATCTGGCGATTTATATCTTAATTAATTAATTTATTTTTTTCTAAATTAGTTTAAACAATTATAAAACCTTATAAATATTGGTATACTTAATAATTTTTTAATAAGAAATATGTATATATATCTAATAAATTTTATATAATACCAGCTACCATATATACTTCAATTTGTAAAATGTATAA